AGTTCCTTATGGGATGTTTGGTCTGACGAAAAGTAGGCTGAGGGAAGACCTCATTGCTCTTTATGACTACCTGACAGGAGGTTGCAGCAGGAGTGATGATGGTCTTTTTTCTCAGGTGACAGCTGATAGAACATGAAGCAATCGCCTCAAGTGGCATCAGAGGAGGTTTAGATTGGATGTCAGGAAGAATTTTGTCATGGAAAAGGTGATCAAGCTATCCAGGCTATCCAGGGAAGTGGTGGAGTCCCCATCCCTGGAGGTGTGAAGAGACATGTAGAAATGATGCTTAGGGACATGGTTTAGCAGTGGAATCCCAAAGCAATACATATTTTGTACATATTATAGATATATACAGACTAAATTATTTGTGATTGGCACTTGCTTTTCTTCAGCTCAGATGAAGGAACAATTTTTCAGACAGTTTAGAGATGTGCCTCCTCTTAAATGGAATGATAGTTTTTGCAATATTGCATTGGTATTTCAGCAGCAGCTTAGAAGCAGATTTTTTTATTATTATTATTATTGTCATTATTATGTTTTTAATTCACTTATGAGGCTCATTGTCTTACAACAGCTGCAGGGACACCAACTAAAGATGCAGTCTCTGGAAAGGACCACTGCTATGGATGAAAAACTCTGAAGCAGCAGGAATAAGGGATGAAGCAACGTTGTCTCTACTATAAATCATATTACAGTTAACCATAGTTTCCTCTGGTGAACTCATGGTTTCTAACATCAGTTGTGGGATTTTGATTAAAACATTTTTTTTGTCTTGTTTTGTTTTGTTTTGTTTTTCTTTCTTTCTTTTTTATTTTATTTTATTTTGTGTGGCTGTACAATAAAAAAAATAAAATAATACTATTGGTAGGAAATATTCAGGATTTTGAGAAACATTCAGTATCTGATATTCATCATGCTTATTTTATGATAATTGCAACACAATTACACTAATCACAAGTGAAGTCACAGTTCTTATCAAAGACCGAGATTTCTAGTTGTTTTGTTAGTCCTCACACTCTGGACATGATGTTGTCAGTTGCTTTGATTCATAATATATTTTAATATATTTTCAGTATTTTTGAAAGAATCAAATTCAGAGGAAATATCCAAGATATTAAAATCCCTGTTAAAATCTATATGAAAACCTGTAATAAAAACCTTCATTTTAGTACAATAATTGTTATTGATTTACTGACAGACTCAGCATTTGCTCATCTCTTAGTCAATATTTAAGGTCTTAAACAAATAAACCTACTGATCTCAAGAACTGACAAAGTTCTGAAAATGATACAGGTTTCTGTTGACAGTAAGAGGTTTGGATAGCTGATGTTGGAAAAACTGTGGTTAGTGCTTTTACAAATGGAACTTCATCTGAAATCAGTTTCATTTACCTGAACAAGCTTGAGAACAAGCTTGAACATTTACTTGAACAAGCCTTAGACTTTTTTTTCTGAGCTTTAATACTTGGGATGTGACATGCAGATACAAGGTTGACAGTAGATGGGTGAGGGCTAGTGCTATGCTAGTTTTATCCCTCAGTCTTGTGCTGCAGCCACTCACTGCCTACCTTGTTGTCTCAGTTCTCCAGCTGCAGAAGCATCAGTACTACATCCTTTTCTGATTTTTGGCATATTTAGATTTTCAGATGTGTCTCCTACTCTTTTTTTTTTCCTTTTTTTTTTTATGGCAAATTAAGGGCTCGTTTCTTAAACATCTTTTGCTTGAAGCTGAGAAGACAGGATATTTGAGGGAAGTGAAAAGCCATCCACCAAAGGGAGTCATGTAAATAAGATTCATGTGATGGTCATGTGATAGCCCAAAGGCAAAATCAGGTTTAAGAGGTGGTTTACTCCACTCTCACAAAGTCTACACATGGATCTTGCGTTCAAATCTGCCAGCAGCCTGCAGCAGGCAAGCTCTTCTATTTAAAATATGCATTCTTTTAAAGTCCAAAATTGCTCTTTATGGTTCTGTTTTGGTTTTTGATTTTAAACGGGATGAAGAGCAGTGCTTCATGATTGAGTAGTCAGTTTTTCCTTGTCTTATGCCTCTATTTTGAGTAAGTGTTGGAAAGAAAAGGAGCGACATGTAGGTGGGGACTGGGAATGCAGGTTGGTGCACATTAAAGGAAAGCAGAGATGAATAACTTTCACTTGTTCTATGCAACTTGTTCTTTTCTGTTCAGCAGCAAACTGTGGGCATATTTTAAATCAGTTAATAAGATAAGTGTGCTTTATCAAGGAGGTGCAGTGAAAGTAAAGAGAAAAGTGGAGTGGGACAGCAGTTTTAGCAAGGGCAAGTAACTGAGAGAGGTGCAGACAGTTGATTCTCAAGACCTGAGTGATTAGCATGAGCACTGAAGAGTTAATGACTCCTTTGTGAAAACTTTAATTTTTAGCATAGCATCTTCTGAAGCAGAGATAATACCATATGAATAAACCCCATAGGAAATCTTCATTAATAATCTATCAAGCTTGTAAGATTTTCCTCTGTGCATGTGCATGTCTCTGTGTGTTTTTTCAGAGCTTGCTGCCTCTGGAAATTATCAGTGAGTGTAATTAAACATCACAGTGCTATCACCGGAACCCACAGACTCCCTGGTACCATTTATTTTCATGACTCTTCTTCTTGCCCCCAGTCTTTTGTTCATTTAGAAAACATTGACAGGATAGTGGAGGAAAAATATTTGTGTCTCCTGGCTATCTCTGGAATTTATTACATCCCCCTACAGCAGTTCTGAAGGAGCTTGGTGTCAAGTGCTTGACTTTTGAATATCATGCAGCGTAATGCTGTGTATAGCACTAGGAAGGCAAAGACTGTGCCATGAAACTGGACTTTATAAGGAAATGCCAGCATTGAGGGTTAGCATCCTAAGTGCTCCAGATGTATAATAACTAGAATAAGTCCATCATTGAGAAAGGTTATTATAAAAGTAACACTGACTCACTCAAATTTTCTGTAGAAAATTTTGGCTTGTATTGTGAACAAGCCTGACCATCATTAACCTCTTTCAGAGAGTGAGTACTAAAGCTAAAGACTGCATTTCTTAGAAACATGAGGTGGATTGCTTGCATGTTGTTTTTTTGTTTATTTGTTTGTTTTTATTTTTAATTTGTCTGTTTGTTAGGTTACTTTAAAATTCAACTATTAACATTTATTGATGAATATCACCTAGTAACAGTATAAAAGTTACAGAAGGAAAACTAGGACATCACCCAGGTATTGCATAGCATATTAATAATCTTAAATACTTCAGAGAGGAACGTTGCCAAATAATCTTTCTGTTGCCATGTGTGAGAAAGGGCATTTTCTGATTGGAAGAGCACTTCACTGCAGATCTGAACCCTTCCCTGCAAACTCCAGCTGCAAAATGTAGTATCTGTCTTTCTTTGGGGCACAGCCAATTCTGTTAGCAGTGGATGAGAAAAAAGGTGCCCCTGTGGGTAGCTTATGCTGTTATAGTAGTCCACTTCAGAGTGCATTATAACAGATACTTCAGAGAATGTTGCTAATTGTATTCAGAGACAGGACAGAGAAAAGAAAGCCTGACTGTGACCTGTACCTATTGAGGCAGTTCCGGTTAGTGGGTCATTACTCTGCACTGTAAGTAAAGGGACTGTGTAGTCTCTATACAAAACATGAGGTGAAGCAAGCAGTATTGTTTCTAGGATATTGTATTTGGCAGATGACATGGATGTAAAACAGAAATAATAGAAGACCTGAGTACAGGTATAGATATAAAGCTCAGTGTGATTCATTCTGGTTATTTTTTGGGGGTTATGAAACATACTATGGCTGTCTACAACACTGAATACTGAACTGAGGGTAAGCAGGTCATCTGTTACTCTAAGGGAACATTTTTATCTCTTCAAACTCCCATCTTTTTACTGTGGCATTTCCTGCACACTGTTTTTGTTGCATTCCTCCTTTATTGTCCCCACTTTCCATGCTCCTTAGGGACACGTTGTGTGTGGAACTAGTTATGATGGCTGTAATCTCTAAAGTCTTTGAGTTTTGCAATAGACTCTGGTATCATGAAAGACATCCTTTCACTGGCCTCCTGCCATGCCTTCCAAGGAAGCACAAAGGTGAGAAAGGTTAGTACTTCAGTACGGATAATAGCTAATGTGTCTGAAAGGAATTGAAGGTTTTGTGCCTCAGCACAATGCTTATGTCCTTACTGTGCTAGAGTGGCAGTGTTTGTGCATTCTAATATCCCAAGAGCCTGCAGCAGGCAAGCTTCTCTATTTTATTTATAAATCCTTTCTGAATTCAAGATAGCTGAAATTACAGGATTTGCTTCCTGGAGTTTGAATAATTTGAAGTTGCCCCACAATCACATTTGTCAGTGTCCTCATTTGCTTGCTGCTTTATCTTTACAGCACAATCTATTTCTTTATCTGTCTGAAGAATGAAATATTATCTCTGACATTACCTAGCTTTATTCAGGAGTTCTAATTATGCTGGTTTCTTCAGTCGAGTCAGCCAAAAAGCTGAGACCTTGCCAGAATGCATATGGGCAGATCGCCTTTTTCATAATATGCATTTCCTGAGGTATCCTTGGATTCCTTGAGTCAAGATAATTAGTGCTTTTTATCAACCGAATCCCCATTCTGTTTTGTGGTTCAGAAAAAGAACTAAAAATATTCTATTTGTTTTACTGTTTACAGAGCTGATATTTAACTGTTTCTATTTGGCTGCATTTTATTGTCACATTTGTGACATGCAGTTAGTTGTGCCTTTAATAGAACTTTGAATATGGGAATGTTATTGAAGCGTTCATTAAAATGTTTGTTTCTAGGGACAGGATCTGCCAACTCTACATGACTATGAATCTCTGTAATTCTTTCTTTGGCAAACCCAATTCCACTCTCTCAAAGTAAGCAGAGGTAATGTCTCAGAATGAGGCCAAAGGTTGCTAAAAATTATCAGCAATAAGTTCTTGACCTTTTCTTTCAGCTTCTGGGATAACCTTTGTCATCCACAACCATGAACCTAGATTTTTGACATGCCAGTTTTTAACTTTGTTGTTTCCTTTTTTTTTTTTTTTTCTAGGAAGAATCCATATGAAGGAAAGAGTTTTGAATTAATAGAAGACTTCAGTTAAGCTTACCTCCATTGGGAGCTAAATCCTCTACACCAAAGATAAAAGGTCAGCTCTTTGTACAGCAAGGGTTGGGTGAACCTGTATCCTCTACCCATATCATATTACAGGTATTAATACTTTATTGAATGTTTATGCTCTCTGTAGGTGTCCTCAGTTTACAGTGGTTAGTTGGCTCACTTGAAGGCTAATTCCAATGCCTTTGTCAGATTTCTTATATTGCTGAAATTCAAGGGGGGAACATCTCCCATCTGAAATTCAAAGGGTGGAAAAATTTTCCAGTTTTCCGTTTTGGAATAAAACCTTCTTGAAAAATGTTTTTCAGAGGTCCTTTATTGCAGTGATTCCTGATCTAAGAGAGGAAAGGAAAGAATCAAAGTGGAATCAAAGATCTCAAGACCTAGAGAAGTAGAAACTACTGCACAGTGGCAGACGCCTTGTCCTATCTCTATTGAAGTCTGTAATTCTTTCTCTCAGCCAACACTCCTCTCTTCAAGGAGCTCTGCCTGATTAGCCCAAGATCTTGTGGTCCTCAGAGGGAATTGTTTTCATATTTCCTTTCTATGCTGGATGTTTTCCATGAAGTGTTAGCCCTTCTGTATCCTGACCGTGTTGTCATCTCTCCAGTTTCTTTTTCCAATTTATTTCCGAGTTAGCACGGAATGGTTGTATCAGTATCTGTCTGTGGTGGCTGTCTTGTATTTCCTGGCAGAGTTCATTACAAGTGTGATGCCACCTACAGTGTCATGGTTTAACAGTGGTACTGATTGCTTGTGCACTCTAGCAGGCAGTTTTGCCTCAAAAGCCGAAGGCTTTCAAGGAATATTTTTTTTTTCCTTGTCATGTTTGGATAAAGTGTCGTAGTTGTGGGAGAACACCTAAAGGAAATCCCTTCATGGCATTTATGTTTGCTCAGTGGAAATATAAAGTGAGATGACTTCAGCATTGCAGTTTTTCATCTTACAAAAGATGCCATCCAAAAATCATGTTTATTAAGCATTGTGTTACATTGTTACATATGGATCACTGTTAAGATCCTAATAAGGATTCTTAAATTCCTGTACCCTTGCAGCAGAACTATTATTGAAAAAAGAAAACACAAATTCTTCCTGGAATCATCTCTCTGTACTGCTCTTAAAAGTAGATGATATCTTCTCTAATTTACTTTGTAATCCTAAAAACAACTAACAAAAAGAATTTTAGCTTCTGTTGAGCTTCCAAAGTTCCATCTTTTTACATCTTAAGTCCAATATTTCCCATGCAGATAATGAAATGACAGGAGTATTTTCACTTCTTAGATTTATAGAGTCATTAAAATTACTTTGTCTGTACCTTCTGGAATTTGAGGAAAGACAATAAGTCTTTTTATAAAGACCTTCTTTGAAGGTTCAAAACCTGAGAAAGCACAGCCTTATTTTTTAAGGTTATTGTCAGTGTCTGTTTAGGAAGGCACGATGGAAGACTTGTTTGACTATATGCTTAAGCTGTGAAAGACTTTTTTTCCCATTCTACAAGGTTACCCTCTCCTTCTGCCTATATACAGTGCATATTTTATCAAAACTTTTTATTTATTTATTTATTTAGTAAACTTAAAGTCTCCTAAAAATTTGGAATTGGAAGACATTCAGTGAAGCTTTTAACATATTACTTCCAGAGGTGCCAGCTACTAGGCCTTTCCCAGGGTTATGACAAATTAACCTTCTCTGACGTTATCTATTCTTTCTGTTTCCATCCACAACTCTGCATCAATTCCTTGTGTCTACTGTGGTCCAGCTCTGTTCTTCCTTTGCACTTTCTGTGGCAGCAGTGACAGGTCAGGTATAGCTCTTTGAGTTTCAGGGCAAGATATAGATAATCAATCAGCAATCTAATAATGATTGTCATGGCTTTTCACATGTTGTGAGTCCTTATACTCTCTTCCCAACACATAAGCTCTTGTCTCACAGATGAGGGCGATGATGCATCCACTCATTGAGTGTATGTCATCTACATTCACCAGATACTCTACTGTGGATATCACTATGGACCTGCAGTGCTCAGGACTCCAGTATGGTCTTCCATTTCAGTGGAAAGGAGAAACCCATGGAGCACCTTTCTTTAAAAAAAGGTTGAGAAAAATCATAAGTCAGTCCAACATGATTGCTGTCCTGTTCACAGAGTATCTGGAAGATTATTCCAAGGTGCTATCTGGTGTCTTTGAAAAACTTTTTTCACTAGCTGATACCCTGCTGATTTACCAGCCTCCTGTCATGAAAGTACATTGGCTAAACCATGTAACCAGTGTTGTCGTTCTCATAAGAATGATATTTAAAAATAGTTATTCGCCCTTTGGAGATCCTTTCTTTATTTTCTACAGTTTTGTTGTTCTATGTTGATGAAATCAAGCAGTTCCATCTCCATGAAAAAAAATCATCTTTGGCTGAGACTATTTGTTACATGCAAAGTTGATTCTCCACACATCCGGTTGCCATACAGTTATTTTCTTACTGCTAAACTCTTTCTGGCAAATGGTTAAAGATTTAACTAAAAATAGTGAAGAAATACAGGGTTTCTATATTGACCAAGACAACTTTGTGTTTTTTTCCTTGAAGAGGTCACACAAAAGTAGAAAACTGCCATTGAAACTCAGAAGAATCTCATATTTTATGTGAATATGAATTATGTCAATGAAGAACTAATTAGAACTGAGAGAACACAGGGCAGTGAGTAAATCAAAGATAAATTTGTACATCATTTATTGTCAGATGAGTTCTTTCTCTTTGGGGTTGCTCTTCCAAGGGCTTCCCACGTGCAACAAAATGCACAGATGCCTGTGAATGTGTTTTATGAGTCTTTATTTTCATCATTTCTGGCTGTGGGTTTTCTCTCTGCCAGCAGCCTCTGGCTCTCTCTTTCCCTGGCTTTCTTCTGGCTGCCTGTCTGTCCATGGGAAGCTGTTTGCTCTTGGCATGCTCTGTTTCAGGATAGGCAAACTTTGTCCATGAGGATTGACTTGTTTCAAAGCACAGCTACCAGCACAGGCTTCCTCCTTGCTGTACAGTTTCTACCTTGAAGAAGACAGAATACAGGACAAAGCAAACGATGAACAAATTAACTAAATGCCATCCATGACAAATCCTGAAGACTCAATCAACTTGATGTACATGGGTTAAAAAAAAAACAAAGTGTTATGAGTTGCATTACATGGCAGACTGAGACATACCTTATTTTGAAACAGTATCAATCTGGAGAAATATTACATGCATTCCTACCTGCACTGAATGATTGTACAGAAAAAAAAAAGAACAAAACAACATCCCTGCAAAAAGAAAAATAACAAGCAATTTTCCACTGTGTTGTTACAGCAACTTAAAAACACGTAAGTGTAAAAATATCTATTTGTTACTTATTAAGTAGATAATTTGCTTCTTGAGCTATCAAATGTGAATTAATTTTAAGGATTTTTAAAGCTGTAATCCTCAAGCCATTTAGGTTATACTGCACTGTTCTCAGGCTATCCTTGTTCTGAAAAAACAAAAACAAAAAAAAGTTTCTTCTGCTGCTCACCCATTCAGAGTAATTGGCATCTAAGAGGTTGCTGATAAATCTGAAAGCATGTGTTCATTATAAGATCTTCCTAGCTGACACCATCCAACATAAAATGGGTTTCTATTCTAAAGGAAAATGCAAGGTAGATTGTGTGAGGTTGTTTTTCTCTCTATTTTTCAATGTTTGTTATTGATTTGAATGTGAAAAGAAGCTGTGAATATTTTGAAAATAGTAAATCCTCATCAAAATAGATATTGACAAAATTCTTCAGAAAGCAAACAACTAAAATTCTGAAGATTCAGGCTAGTGTTGTGTCAAAGGTTTAGAGCAAACTAGCTAATGATTTTTCCAAGCCATTGAAGATTTATTAGTGCTTTTTTTTTTTTTTTTTTTTAATTAAGTAATAGCTTGTTAGAGATACACTAAAGCACTGAAACTTTGGGCAACTAATCATACTGACTGCTGAGTTGTATATGCTTGTGTCGTGGTTCCGCTCGAGTGGGCAGCCGAGCTCCACCACAGCCGCTCTCTCACTCCCCCTCCTCAAAGAGGAATGGGGAGAAAATATGTGAAAGGGGCTCAAGGATTGAGATAAGGACGAGAAAATCACGCAATAATTAGTGTAACGGGCAAACCAGACTCAGCATAAGAAGACAGATAGTAAGATTTATTGCTCATTACTAACAAGCTAGAGAAGTGAGAAACAAAGGAAAGAAACCAAAAGCACCTCCCCCCCCATCCACCCTCTTCCACCTCCTCCCCCCGAGCGGCGCAGGGGAATGGGGAAATGGGGGTTATGGTCAGTCTACAGCACTTCTTCTCTGCCGCTCCTTCTCGGTCACTCTCGTCCCCTGTGCTGTGGGGTCCCACCCACGGGATGCAGTCCTTGACGAACTGATCCGGCGTGGGCTTCCCACAGGCAGCAGCTCTTCCAGAACTGCTCCAGATATGGGTCCGTACCACGGGGTCCATCCCTCAGGAGCAAACTGCTCCAACCTGGCTCCCCCACAGGCAGCAGCTCCTGCCAGGTCACCTGCTCCTGCGTGGTCTCCTCTCCACGGGCTACAGGTCCGGCCCGGAATCTGCTCCGGCAGGGGTCTTCCACAGGCGGCAGCCTCCGTCGGTGCAGGGCCACCTGCTCCACCGTGGTCTCCTCCACGGGCTGCAGCGTGAAACCCTGCTCCACCGTGGTACTCCATGGGCTGCAGGGGGACATCCTGCTTCACCATGGTCCTCACCACAGGCCGCAGGGGACTTCTGCTCCGGCGCCTGGAGCACCTCTCCCCCTCCTTCTACACTGACCTTGGCACCTGCAAGGCTGTTTCTCACTCCCTTGACTCTCCCGGCTGCTGTGTGGCGCAGCAGTTTTTTCCCTGTCTTAAATATGCTCTCACAGAGGCGCAAAACAACATCGCTTATTGGCTCAGATTTGGAAAACAATGGGGCCCTTCCCAAACATGGGGCGGCTTCTAGATCTTTCTCACAGAAACCACCCCTATGGCCCCCTGCTACCAAAGCCTTGCCACGTAAACCCACTACAGCTTGACAACTACCATTCAGTAAATACAGCTTGAAGTTAAATTACATGTTTTGAAAAACAGTGTTTCTTTTCAGGATTTTTTTAATCCGTGAAACCCTCTCTCAGGAAATATCACTGATGCTAAGAGTTTACTAGATATCAAAAATGATTAAGCATTTATGTGGATTGAGAGAACATCCATATTCTCCTTACTCTGGACTAGGATTATTGTTATTATTATTAGGGATGTGATATTTGATCTTCTAGTTAAATCACTGAGAATGATATATTCTCAGGATGATATATGCTTAAGATATGTTTAAGAAAATAAACTAGCCACCAAATTTATGGGCCAGAGGAAAAAAAAATGTAGTTATTTTGCAGATGTTTACTGTAGGATTTCTTGTGACTTCCTGAAAATAATCAACCACTACTCAAGTTTAGGAGATGTTGAATTAGCATTATCTATGAAGTTACTTTGAACATATTCAGGTTTTTCTTATGTGTAGCATGTGAACTTCCTTTTACTTTTTTTTTCTTCTTTATGATTTGCTCAAATATTGTGTTTTCCAAATTCTAAGTATTCATGCTGATATTGCTTACTTTTACATTTTACATATACATTTACAAAATGTCTGAAATATTTGCTAATTATATCTCTTCTGATTTTAGACTCATTCTCCCTATTACTCAGACAATTCATGGTTTTTGTTTTGTTTTGTTTCATTCTGCTTTTCTTTCACTGCTGTAGAAAAGCATTTTATTCAGTCATTAGTTTCGAAAGGATTGAAATCATTTAACAGAAGAGGAAAAATGACACTGAACATCCTTATTTTTTTCCCCAAAATAATGATATATCTTCTTCTTTTCCCATTGTTGTTCTCATGCAGCATCCTTGCATTGACAACAGTAACAATACTTGTTAGTACACAATGTTCCTGTAAGCTTATTATGGTTAATAAGCTGCAGTTTTATGTTTAACACAGAGTGTTTGTATATCTCCTGTGGATTATTTGAGCCTCTTCTTTCACATGCAGAAAGAATGGAGGACATCTGCCAATTTTTCTGATAGATAAAATGTATTTTGCAGTTATCTCTCACAGAATCTCTTCAAAACTGCTGTTTATAAAGCTTTTTTATTATTATTTTTTTATATATAGTAGGAAAATGGAAACTTGGGAATTGCAGTGATTCTAGTTCAATTTCCCCCAAAAAGTGAGTTTGAATACTGGGCTTTAGTGCTGAAATTGGAGAGAAGAATCCAAAGCAAAACAGATCTCTTGTATTGGCTTTTTAGCTTGTGTTTTCAAACTGTGTCATTTTGCCTTGTCTTCTGTGTTCTTTGTAGAACATAAGTGAGGCCTTTCTGCCATGGATACCATGAAGAAGGGTTTATTGATGCTTTTCTCCCACTACAAGAATGAGGAGGTGCCTAATGGCATTCTGGAAACAAGATTATAAGCTTTTAAAAAAGAATGTATTTAGACACACAAGTAACTGTAGTATCACAGGATGCTGCAGAATGGGGTGGGGGGGGGTGGGGGGGGGAAAGAATTCTCAGTATTAGACATGTTTGTAATAATACAGTTACTGATGAACATTTAAAGGTGGGCCTGAATAAGCCTTCTGGCTCCGGAAGTCCCTAAGCTACTGAAGTATTTATCATATTTATCATTATGAGGATAGCTCTATACTTATGTCTGTTTTTTGGTTCATCTGTCTTCTAGCTACACTCAAAAGCAGGAGACTGGATGTATGGGCCTTTGGATTAACAGTTGCTAGACCATGTTTTGAAACTTTCATGTTGACCTTCTTTTTGGTCTTCTTCCTTTATCAACACTTATCCTATGTTCCTGGTTATTCTTTCTCTAAATGCAGACTATGATTGTAAGTGGAAAATAGTACAGAACAGAATTTTTGTGTTTGGTATCAGTAATCAGGTGCTTCTAAATTGGAAAACCCCACGTACTTGGGAGTATATCATCACTATTTGCATTCATTAAAGGACTTTCTGTTGCTTTCATGTACCTACAGATCTATGTTGCATCACACTGTTCAAACAGCTTCTGAATCTGCTAGTGAAAAAATGCTGTCTATCAAAAATGAATGTATTCTCCTTTTTGCAGAAATTGTACTCCTTCTATTTTTATGCCCTTGTAATATTACATTTGTAGTTCATTCAACAATTGTTGATCTTCCATATTTACAGTATTTTGAGGTATGTGGAATTATTTATTTCAATTTATTACCATGTATCAAATAATCATAAAGAGTTGTGGTTTTTTTGTTGTTGTTGTTTTTGTTTTGTTTTGTTTTCAGAAGGCTAAGTATCCTATATGTTTACTACAGGTTACTCTCATGTTAAAACAGTAAAATAATGATACTGACACATAAAAGGCTGATCGAGGCCTAGGGTGAGACTAAGATCTTCTGAGTGAGAATAAGATCTTCAAATATGGAATGCAGCCACTGAATTTATATTCAGTAACTACAGTACATGTTGTTTTTGTTTTTGTTTTCTTTTTTTTTTTTTTAAAAAAAAAGGAGTCAAATTACAAATTTGATTAAAATTAAAATAATGCAAGGAATGTACCAGAGTGATAGATATTGTTATTTAAATGGCATGTTCCATAAGGAAGCTGTGATGGAAAGACTAGGAAAAGAGAATGGTTTTGGAAAGTAGTTTAAAAATATAGATTGTTCAACTAATCATATACCTATACCATATGCTTCCCAGGGTAGTGGTCATGGAACCAAGCCTGCTGGACTTCAAGAAGCGTTTTGAAAAATTTCTTAGACGTGGTTTAATTTTTAAGTAATTCTGTTTGCAGCCAAGAGTTAGACCCAATGACCCTTGTGGGTCCCTTCCAGCTTGAGATATTCTCTTCTTTTCTACTCTGTTCTGTGGTGTCATGACTACTCCACATGAAGTAGAAATTTAAAGCAGTAATTTGTATGCTTCATAATGTGTTGATGGACAAAGTTAACCCACATTTCAAGCAGCATTTAATCATTGTGGAATTCTAAGATGAATAGTTGAACAATTGAAGTGAGGTTCTGAATAGCCACCAAATAAATCTGTGTTATAAGCCCCCATGAAAATTAGGTTTCTTTACTAAAGCTACCACAGAAACAAAGTGATTGTACAACAGGATCAACATGGATTTGATGGTCTGACTTAAAATTAGGTATTTAAATTCAGATTCTTTTTCCAGTTGAGTGAAATCACTATGTAATCAATCTGTAGTGACACATTTATCCTAATTGTACTTCTTGAGAGGTTTCCCACCAAATATCCTGTCTACCTTGATCTCAACAGGTCCATAAAATTGCTGACACATGCAGAGCACCCTGCAAAAAATCCATGTCCCAGTTATCACACAAGGAATTTTTTCCACACAGTTTGATTACAGCTAGACCTAGCAACAGCTCTGGGGCAATGTGGTACATACAGACTCATTCCTTTATACTT